GAAATGATAAACTGACCCTGAATAAAGATGGCCTCCGGGCTTCCTCCAGACTCCGGCGGCGGTATAGTCACGTGCTGTCTGGTTCCTCTTGAGGCCTTTCGTGCAATGGCACTTCTCCAGAGGAGATTTCGGTTCTCCTCTGAAGAAGTGCCATTGCACGAAAGGCCTCAGAAGGAACCAGACAGCACGTGACTATACCACCGTCAGAGTCTGGAGGAAGCCCAGCGGCCATCTTTATTCAAGGTCAGTTTATCATTTCTATACAATACCCTGTGACCTATGTTATTGTGTATACAAATAAATTCGCTTACATTCTACACTATGGGCACCTGTTTTTTGGCTCCTTTATGGAGCTATTAGCTTACAGGTTACCCTACTGTCACAACACCACCAGAGGAAAAGGAGCTCTGTACTCAGGATGAGCACCTATATCCATCCTTAAGGGGACCTCTGGATTCAGCAGATACCTTAATCCTTCCAACTTGATGACTACACCATAGAGGAAAAGTTCACCGGATTATCCTGGCCACCTTCACGGCTTACATTATATGTGCATTTCTAATGCGCTTCCGGTGAGTGCGCGCTTTTACTACTAACGGATGTCACAAGTTCATCTGCTGCTGGTTTTCACCTTTTGAAAGTTTATTTTAATTGAACTTTTTATATACGGACATTTCACATTATACCTACTTGTATTCGTTTATGTCATTTTGCATTACTTTACTATAGCGCTACACCCATTTTCTGTTATTTACCTTGAGGCTTTTTTGGTACCTTTGGTGTTTTAGCTGCTGCCAAAATAGGAGCGCTCACTATCTTTTTTATTTATATTATTTAGGTTTTTTGCTGCCCTAGGCAACACAAAAATCAGATGCCCCCCCGGCGGAGAGAGCCTGACACCGACCAACAACACCCATGCACACCCGAAAGAGCCTTCCACTCTTCTACTAATGCCCCCCCCCAAGAGAGGAAGACAGTCACCTTCACAGCTCTGGACATCCCCGGGAACGAGAGTCGGGCTCTGCATACACCATCAAGCAGCCCACAGCCTCTATCAGGTCCCACCTGGTCCCCATGCTGCACATGTCCCTTCTTCCTGTGGGGAGGTGCTGGCCCCCTGAAAAATGCTGCCCTAGGCAAATGCCTTGTGGTAAATACGCCCCTGTTCATTGGAGAGCACTGGAAAGGGTCAGCTTAACTACTAGAGGGAAGTCACGATTTGCATAAAATTTCAGCAGCCAATAAAACTGATTTGCATAAAACGTCATCACGTGACTGACAAGGGGGTCCTGCATGTATCCTAACCACGGTGGTGCACCAGGATGTGTTTTTCTGTAGGAACAAAAGACTTTGAGTCGTTGCCTCTACAGCATATTACACTGTATGGCCTAGCCATGATGTCTCTTCTTTATTTTTATATTTTGGTTTTATGTTGTTTTTTGTACTGTCATATATTGAGGTGATGGCTATTTGCAGTCTTTACTCAATGTTTCACATTGCTTCTTTGCTAATAAAAGCATATTTTGATTACAAGTTGAGCATTGCATTGTCTTTATACAACCAGTTTTTCTTGTGAATTTCTTGTTCACATTGAGTAGGCTTTTTTGGTTATTGGGCAATACTTAATACTTCTAGCGATACCTATTACCTTTAATGCATCCATTTTTTATGGTTATTAAAGGGGTCCTGCATGGACCTGAAATGTTGCAATCTTCCGCTGTGATGTGATCACTTTGAATAAAAATATTTATTTGAATGTTACTTGAAGATCCTTGGTGTGCCAATATTAACATTAACTACTTGCCGACCGCAGATAGCCGACCATGACGGCTGCACTTTGGCCAGCCAGTTCTGGGTGGACGTCATATCACGTCCTCCCAGAACGCGGTCTCCTGCATACCACCGAGGGCGCGCACCCGGCGACTCTGTGATCACTGTGTCCTACGGACACAGCTGATCACGTGACGTGGTAAAAGGCCAATCACAGCGGCCTTTTACCACGTGATCAGCCGTGTCCAATGACACGCTGATCACCGGGAAATGCAAATGCCGGTTCTCGGCTGCACTTTCCTCCACTGTCAGATCAGTACTGCCGAAAACCGGCAGTTGTCAGAGCGGGGATCGGCACCGATCATCAGGGTCACTGATCATCAGTGCCCTGATGATCGATGCCCAGCAGTGCGCCCACCTGTGCCCAGCAATGCACCCACCTGTGCCCAGCAGTGCGCCCACCTGTGCCACCCAGCAGTGTCACCACCTGTGCCCAGAAGTGCCACCTACCTGTGCCCAGTAGTGCCACCCACCTGTGCCCACCCACCTGTGCCCACCAGTGCCACCCACCAGTGCCCATCAGTGCAGCCCAGCAGTGCTGCCAGTCAGTGCCCAGCGGTTGTGCCAGTCAGGGCCCAGCAATTCCGCCAGTCAGTGCCCAGCAGTGATGTCAGTCAGTGCCACCTATCAGTGCTGTCTATCAGTACCCATTATCAGTGTCGCCTATCAGTGCCACCAATCAGTGCCGCAATCAGTGCCACCATCCTCACCTCATTAGTGCTGCCTATCAGTGCCGCCTGTCCGCGCCACCTCATTAGTGCTGCCTATCAGTGCCCTTCAGTGCTGCCTATCAGTGCCCATCAGTGCCGCCTATCATTGCCCATCAGTGCTGCCTCATCAACGCACATCAGTGAAGGAGAAAAATTACCTGTTTTAAAAATTTTATAATAGAAACAAAGAAACTTTTTTTTTGTTGTTTCAAATTTTTTTGCACTTTTTTTGCTTATAGCACAAAAAGTAAAGTGCCCAGCAGCGATTAAATACCACCAAAAGAAAGCTCTATTTGTGAGAAAAAAATGATAAAAATTTCATATGGGTACAATCTTGCATGACCGCGCAATTGTCAATCAAAAATTGCGCGCGTCAGTGCTGAAAGCTGAAAATTGGCCTGGTAAAGAAGGGGGTATAAGTGCCCGGTAGGCAAGTGGTTAATAACATTAAATTTGCTAAATTAGCGTGTCATTGGAGAATATTGAAAAAAAAAAAGAGCCAAGTTGACTTCTAGCAGGAAGTCAAGATTTGCATTAAACCTCATCACATGGCTGATGTAGGGGTCCTGCATTGCCCGGAAAGTTTGCATTCTTCTGCTGTAATGTGACCACTTCGAATAAATAAGTTTCAACACTACTTGAAGATCATCGGTGTGCTGGCAATGTTTACATTATTTTTGGTAAATAAGGTCCCCTGTCATATTAACAGGCCATTGGAGTGTATTGACAAAAGGTACAACCAACTTGACTTCTAGAGGGAAGTCAAGATTTGCATAAAACTTTAGCAGCCTATACCTGGATCTGGATCTACTGCACATATCACATAATTCAAAGAGCGGCAGCAAATAATGAAAAGGGAGTTCAAAAAATAAAAACATTACTGCAATCATTATAACATCAACAATAAAAATTTGAGTTATTAATGTAATGTTTATCTGAAAGTAAATTTGGATGTGACTTTGAGTTTCATATTTCATAAGAGTGTATTTTATATGAACATCTGTAGACTGTCCCTATAGTTGGCTGTATGTGTAGTAGGGAACATTTGCAACATCTGGCACATCAACAGATTACAGGATAAATAATGTAGAAAGTATGTCACTTTTCAATCAGCTTCAGCAAAATGTGGGAGAGAAACAGTAAAGCCCAATCACTGTTCAACACTATTTAGAAAGCAGAGCTGTCACATCTAATGGGCAAATATGGCCACCTCTATGGACAATTGCAAATATGAAAAGGAAATTAACAACGTCATAATACACTTTGACAAGCGTAACATAATCTGATCACAATGGCAGGTACTGTATATCTAAAAACTTCAAGGAATCAAAGACTATAAAATGCCTTTAAATACTGATTTAATTGCATACTCTAAGTGCTGTGACCCAAAATGACTAACATGGCTGCGCAAACCTATGATACCTGCTTCCAATCTTCTGCACAAAAGACAGGGCTGTTCAACCTTTTGAAGAGCGAGGGCCATTTAAGCGATTTGGTAACCGGTCGTGGGCCATAATGAAATAAAATGGTTCAGAATTGCAAATTTTTTATTTCGAATGCCAAAATGAAAATTTTCCTCCTACAGCCGCAGAATGCCAGTGGGAGGGAGAGGAGGAGAAGCTTGCTTTCAGCGGTTGCAGGAGGGAAATTGAGAGGAGCACCTAACAAAATGTGACAGGGAGGCCGCATGGTCCCCCTGGAGCATGGAGTGGGGTTACCATTGCGACCCTTGATGCTGCACCAGTGGTGGTGGTGATGGGTAAAAACAAGTCCCAGCTACCACCCCCTAAACTGCAAATGCAAATGAGCCCTTATTGTCTTGAGACCCCTGTAAGGCTGCATTCACACTGATGCCCTGAGGTTTACAGCGCAGTCCCCTGCAGTTTTCTTGCGGTTTGCCATACATTTCTATTATATCTTGCGGGTGTGGTGCACTTTCTGAAAGCTCATCAAAACTCCTGCATTCAAGTGTTTTGGTGCACTTTCAGAAAGCACACCAAACAAGCAGGATATAGCAGAAGTGCTCTTCCCTGGTCAGAGGTTGAGGGCCACATCAAAGGGCTCCAAGGACCACATTCGGCCCGCGGGCCACATGGTTGAGCACCCCTAACATGAAAGGCCATAGTCTATTGAGTAGGTAGGTGACATGGCAAACTAGCAAATGAAACCATGGTCACATACTGCTGGCTATGCTATCTGCCAGGGATGCCTTGATCACAAAGCTGACTGAGCAGAATTACAAAGCTGTTGGCTAATAAAACAGTCTTCAGGTATGTATTTCAACCATGTATTTAGCTGTTCAGCTACAGCTAACTCTTAAGACAATTTCTAAAGACAAAATTAAAAGGATCAGGGAACTAATTTGTAATAAATAAAAACAAAAGCATTGATTCTGATGGTTTGCAGTGGACAGCACGGACATTTTTTACATCAAAAGATCACTTGAAGTCAAACACATACCTTGCATGAAGAAGGAGCTAGGGAAAGTGCTGGAAGCTGGTTTTGAGGACGGGTAACCTGGTGAATCCCTATTGTAGTCGGCAGTGCTTGCTGAAGGGGCATAAACCTGCAAAGATTTAAAAAAAAAAAAAAGATTGAATATAAAATGTACAAAAACCAATCACAGAAAGTGAATCATTAACTGCATCAATATTACAAATCAGCCTGCAAGAATCTAAATGAATGCTGAATTGTCCCCGTACAAAAGGCAGGCCAAAAAGGAAGAACCATCATGATAAAAACTCATCTTTCCAGCTCACATTTGAAGGGACCATCAACAACATCACTGACCATTCCACATACAAAATACCCTTTCCACTTTGACCACACCCCCTTGGTTCTCTGAAATTCCAGATTTCATCTGTAGCAAAGCAACACCTAGAACATCTTTACTATAATCTGGTTAGTCAGACTGCTTCAATTTGAAATGACAAGGTTCTAAGGACACCCAAGGAATGGTGGAAGTGAGGTGATGGACACAGATCCTTAACCCTTTGAGGACCATAAGATTACAGAACGCAAAAATAATACATTTTTTTGTTTTTAAAGTTCGTACACTTCAGTTGCTGTAACTAAACCATTTCATGAAATAATTGGCAAAAAGCTAGATCCATTTGTTGTTTGTTGATAAGAACTAATATTTTGACTCAAACCAAAAAAAAAGAGTTTTAAGTTCTTAATCAGATGATACAGGCAATTAAAAACATGGGAAAATACGTCCCTAGGTCCTCAAAGGGTGAAACAATGCTTTGTTTTAGTCTAATTGCTTGAATACAGCAGCTTTCCACAAAGCAGGGGGCCACCTTTCTACAAAATAGGGGTCACCCAAATTGAGACGTCCATCTCTAGTTGATCCAAAACCAGCTCCAAGAAATTGTCCCGAAGTAAAGAGTCCAAACATGTTATTATTTAAACAAATCACAAAGTTCAGCAAAATAAGTTTTTTGGAAGTCAAACAATTTCCCTTTAACAATGTATCAAAACAAAGCTCCTGAATATATAAAAGTAAACCAGGAGATTAGTAAGTGGGTGATCATGCCTGAGACAGCGAAGGAGCAATAAGGTTCTAAGAAAAGATTGGGAAGGTTTTTGGGGCTTTGTCCTACCAGCATGCATTCATCAAAAGCATGCATTCAGGTGTGTCCACATGCATTTTAGACACGCTGATTTCAATTTTTGGAAGACAACATTTTAACTCAGGGCAGTTATTGCAAATATTGCCTAATATAAAAAAAATCAATATTTAATTTCTCAGATCTATTTCAATACAACAGGCTGGTATGAACAGGATCTCCTCCTAGATTGTAAGCTCGAAAGAGCAGGGCCCTCGATCCCCTCATGTTTTGCATTGTATTGGTATTGTTCTGTCACATGTTCTGTCCCCCTTTGTAATGTACAGCGCTGAGCGAACTATTGGCGCTTTATAAATACTGTATAATAATAATAATAATAATACTGCAATTTGTGAACAATGGATTCTCCCACTCCCCTCGTGACTGCATTTGATCTGGCTAAAAAATGAAAAAAAGTGCCGGACAAGGCATATGATGAGTTGGAGCCATGTCAGCCCTCCAACAAATGTAAACAGTGAAAGTGACAATTAGCAGCTGAGTTTCTACTGAGCAAAACTACCTTTGGGACAGTTCAACAAACTAGGCCCCATACACGCAGTTATTGAACTGCCACGTTTAGGGACATTTCTAACTCTCCATAGGTACCCTATAACTTCCCGAATATAACATTTCTTCTGTCCTAAACAGCTCAACACATATATAAAGAAAACACATTACTCTACATAGATAGTTCTAAATTGAACATGAGTTTCAGTATTTGTCTATGAAGACATAGCAGATATTGTTTTCTAGAACTTGGAAGTGATGGCAAATCATGAAAATATGCAAGGTTAATGGTACCACCTGTCCTGCGGAAACATAAATGTAGATTTCCAAAAAAAGAGAGACGCATAATAAAAAAAGAAAGCCCACGTGTTCCATTGTAGCCCTGGTGAAGAGAGACCCTAAAACCCCTGAAACGTGTTAGCCTTTTTAAATGAACTTTGTGACCAATTAACTTTTCATAAACTGCAAGATTAGTTTGGCACTCACTCTAAGACATTAGCTCCATTCCAGAATAATAACATGAATGCAGAACAAGAATCAAGAACAAGGGCAAGAACGCAGCCAGGCAATTAAGAGATTTTTTTTGTGTGTTTTTAACGCAATTTAACATGTAACTTAGTACAAGAGCAGAATCATGCATATTTGGCCCATATACTTTTAAATGGAAGTGCCTAAAAACATGCATAAACATGTGCTTTTCAGCCTTTTCCCAATCTAATTAATGCTTGATTTTGCACCAAAGAAGCTCATGTACTTTTTTGAACCTCACGAAATGGTGAGACAATGCTCAGGTGTTAACAGGCCCACTCAGAAAAATAGGATTCTTCATATTGAGCATTGTCACACTTAAGGAATCTCACAACAAAATGCTCAGGTGTGAATGGGATCTTACTCCAAGGGCCAAGCTATGGTCATACGGCACTAGAGAGCTTCCTGTACAAAGCCTTTTCATCCAATCAGGATACCTACCCACACCAGGGTCCTGCGTCTTTCAAAAATACAGAAAGTTTATTGGTTAACTTAAATGATTAAAGATGCAAGCTTTCTGGATGCCATAGATACTGTCTTCAGGAACTGAAAAAGCCTGAAGAAGGGATTTAAAGTATCAATTAGGGTTTTATCTTTAAAGTATAATCAAAGGTAAAACTTTTTTAGCTTTGGAGAGAGTAGAGAGGGATTAGTACGCTTGTCAGTTTTTATTGTTGTCTGTGCCCTCATTAAGGAGATTCACCCTCTCTATTTGTCCTGTTTACCATTATTATTGAAAGTAAAAGTAAAACAAAATCCCAAATTTTGGGCTGTTCCCGAAAAAGTAATAGAGGGGAAATCTTCCAATGGAGACATTAGTTCTGATGACCTGGGAGTACCCAAGGAATTCCCTTAAATTGCAGGGATTTTTCTCTCACTTCGTGTTTGGCTATGGGACAGGAAATGAAGGTAAATCTCCCCAGTGGGACACAGATGGCAAAAAAAAACTGCCAGGGGTTAGAACTCTCCCTAACTCTATCCTAAATAAAAAAAAAGTTTTGCCGATAGTTCTACTTTAAGGAAGCTCACAACAAAATCCTCAGGTGTGAATGGGGCCTAGCTATGGTCATATGGCTTCCTGTACAAAGCTTCAACACCCAATCAGGATACCTACCCACACAAGGGTCCAGTGCTTCACCAAATTATTTAAATACAGAACGTGATACCCGTTATTAGTTAACTTAAAATATTAAAGATACAAGCTTTCAGGATATCTTAGATACCTTCCTAAAAAATTGGAAAAGCCTGAAGAAGGGATTTAAGATATCCTATAAGCTTGTATCTTTCATAAAGGATGACTAACACCATACAATACCCCACTGCTAGATATTCACTTATAAAGATTTGGTGCACTAGAAACCAACACGTACACGAGTGCCCACTCAAAAAACAATGGAGTGCCACAAATGGCCACCAGAAGAATGCAAACCTTACAGCAGTGGTCAACATGCCTTATCAACAGCTAAAAGGATAATTGGAGTCATGCTGTTGATTTTGCCAAGTGGTGGTGGCCCCAGAACTATGCAAATAGGAGGTCTATTTACCACAGTTCAAGGACCCCTGCTCAGTATGCAATCATATGACCACAAAAAAACTCTTCCATCTGTGCTTCATGATTTCAGTCAAGCCATTTGGTTCAGTAGAAGCTTTAATATTAGGCCTTTTTTTTTTTTCTTTAGTCTTCATATATTTATTTTCCAAGGCTACTCCCTTGTAACCCTGTCAAACACGTATTTATTGTGCCTTCCTATTTAAAATCTAATTCCCGGAACGTGGCCATCAATAGGACCTATAATAAAAACATATTAAGCATCATATAATTCCACTGGATTTCGCTCTCTTCAAAGACACATGAAAGACGATGTTAAAACCTGGATCCGTCTTAGACCACCAACACACCCTGCGTGTATCAGGGGAAAAATACATCCCATTTTGTTTTTTTTTCTGAAGGCTTCTTACATGCGTGCCATCAACTTAAAAGCTTGCCAAAGACACATTTTCTTTCTAGTTTAGCCGAACACAAAGAGTTCCTCGGCAGCTACTAAATAAAAATAGCCCATTTATTTCTTGTTTATTCCATACATAAACAGAGCGCTGTGTACAACAAAGGGTCGGCATCCGTACAGCTTAGTTTAAGAGTTTGTTCTTCTGTTTGGGGAAAAAATATACAAAAACACGCACATTTTTTTTAAAGTCCTATCCCCCCCCCCCCCGAAATCTCTTTCTCTTTTTAAAACGTTCCTTTCCAGATGGCCAGAAAGACTGAGGCGCTGTCATCTCGGTGATGAAAATGGATACCCTCCTGCCTCCATTTTGAAGCAGGCAGCAGATCACAGAATTGGCAAGCTGCCTGCTCTGACATTCGCTTGTCACAGCAAAATGAAGGGGAAAATTCCACCAATAAAAAGACATCTGCAACATTAACCAGTTCAGTGCCTTGGGGTTAGGCACTTGGCAGCAGTCTGCGGAAGCCGGCCTGGTGACGGCATGAACTGGTTAACAAAAAAAAAAAAAAAAGAAAAATGAAAAAAAAAAAAGAGAAAAAGGGAGAAAAAAAAAGGAATAAATAAATAAAAACAAATCACCGCTGCATAGATTAACTCTCAATGTGAATCTAAAAAAAAGAAAAAAAGGCAGCAGGATTTATGCATGTAGACTATGTGCTCCCACCATGCATAGTCAAGCCTCTTCTGACCGAGGATTACACTAGCACATGTATTAATTCACACTCTTATTGGCTTAGTACATCAAATACCATGTGCAAAGTCCAGTGACCACAGCAACCAATCAGAATTCTCTTTTAATTCTAACTACAGCTTTAAGTTGGAGATAGGTAAGATCTGATTGGATGCTACTGAATACTGCACTTTGCAAGACGTCACTGCTCTCTGAGATGTTGTGAGAAACCTGCACTGAAAAA